TTGCGCCTTTCCTGGAACTCGCTTTGGAGACCAGGCTGGCCTCGAATTCACAGAGATCCGCCTGCCTCTGCCTCCCGAGTGCTGGGATTAAAGGCGTGTGCCACCACCGCCCGGCTAGAAGGCTTTCCATTCTTAACTCATCCCTTTTCTGTAATTTCTCTCTGAATATCCCATCCTCAGGTCAATATTTGTCTCCACCCAGAAGCAGAGATTCCTGTGGTAGTAACTCAAGGAATATTAATGGTAATACTATGAGGCTGGAGCTATGATCTTAGTGATTGTCCATAGGCATTTTTCTTTACCATGATTAAGACTCCCTTTGTGTAAAACGAGAAATTTGATCTAGACTATGTCTAGGGTTCTTTCTGATTTCAATAGTCTGTGACAATTATTTTTAAGACCCTTTGACATGCTGGAGAGATGGCTCAGCGGTTAAAAGCACTGATGGCTTCTTTGAGACAACCTGGGTTCAATTCCCAGCACTCACATAGCAGCTCACAACTATCTATAACTCCAGTTCCAGGAGATCTGACACCGTTACACAGACCTACATGTAGGCAACACACCAATGCACATAAAATAAAAATAAATAAATCATTAAAAAAGAGCCCTTGAAGTTTTTAAACTTTTTGTCTCCTCTCTTCTCGTTAGTCTAACAGCCCATCAGTCTATACATATTTTCTCAGCTAAGAATGAGTCCAAATATAACCATAGAATATAGGTATAGAATATAGACATAGAATATAGAATATAGATATATACAGAATGAGCTCCATATATCTATAGAAAAGCACATACATATATATAGAGATTAGATTTAGTGTTCCCCTGAATATGTATCATAATATATTAATTATATCATACCACATGTAATATTATACAATATAGTAATCTGTCACATTATATATTAATTATGTACTTGCTTTGAGGAAAAGGTATTATCTAAGACTTAACATATAGTCTCATGTTATTGAGTATCTCTGGACACAAATACAAAGTGCCTTGTGCTTTACCATTTGGAAAGTTTATTTCTGAAGGAGTGCTGGGCACGGATCTTATAGATTTGAAAGTGGAATTGGTTATTGTTGACTTGAGCGATGGTGTCAATAATTTGGACTCATGGGTTTTCTTCAGTTTCTTCTGTTTATACCTAACATGTATCCCAAACCTGTTGTTCCCATCTGAAATGACACCAGAAAAAAAGTTAAATGTAAAATTCATCAAATTCTACACTTAAAATGGGTGAGGCTGTGGTCTAGAAATTATACTGCCTTCAGTAATACCATTAAAATATGAAGTCCAAGAAGTCAAATGCTCAATGTTTGTTCATTCTTGGAGTTGGCTTTTCTATGAAATTGTGAGAAGTACATTTGTACAGTGGTGTGGATACACGACAAGCCCATGATGCACTTACCAAGGATGTCTGCTTTCCCTAGAGCATAAGGACTTGAAGGTCACTAATATACCCAGTGGAAAAGATCCCTGGGTGCCACTTGTAGACTCCTAGAGCACAAATGTTGCCTCCCTAAAGGAAGCAGCCTGGGCTTTGAATGGAGACTGAGACAAGCTGCCAAAATTAAAGAGATCATTTGATAATAGAGGAACAGCAGTTAGCCTACACTGGAGATGTCCTCAGGGGAAGTGCCAATGTTGAGAGGCAACATTAGAGGCTACTGTATCTCCCACTTGGCAGAGAGCCCCACCACAAGAGCCACCCAGGCAGCTCACTTGTGAGGCATCTTAGAGATGCTGACATGTTCACTCCACTTGCTGCTCACAGCCAATCAACCCACCGTTGGCTACTGGCCAGGAGGCCCTCTGACCTAGTTCCTGAAACACATTAAGTACTCAGTCACCATTCATCTAACTGAATCACAGGACAGATGACAAGCAACCCAAGCAATCTGGGCCCAAACAAGAGCTCTGCCAGGTTAAAATATGGCCCAAGTCACAGTCTTCCCTTGACTTCCTTCATCTTAGCATAAAAGCACAAATTCATTTTCATGCCATGGAAGCAGCCTCTATTTTGGTAGTCTTGTCATATGAATTCGTTAGGAGACAAATTAATATGATCAATTCTATAAAACATGTACGGTTTAAGATCTCACCCAAGTTGACATCTTACCTGAAAAGTTATCTAGCCGAAACCATCTGCAATGGAGATGCCTTTGCCATTGCTCCCGCACACTCTCCTTCATCACACAGTAAAACACAAAAATGAGGAACCCTAAGCCAGGAAAACAAGATCAGTCTTTGCACCTTCTTTCACAAGTTAGCACCAATCCACTGACTCAGGCCTATTCTTGTCACCATCAATGCTGCTTCCAATCAACCTCAGGAGCACTGTCTTTCTAATATTTTTAAGACCTCCCCAAAGGCAGCAATAGCACAAAGTCAGTATTAAGACTTCACAATCACCACTGTTCTCCCCCTAGTCTGCCATCTAACCTAGAGCATGAAACATAAGGGCTACTAGGATACTCAGGACTAGAGAGAGCACTCAATGTTCCCCATCTTCAGGTACTAACATTCACATCCTTGACATGCAGCATCCTCTCACATACCAATGATATGTGGCAGAAGTTGTGGTGTGTCACTTCATTAAGCTACAAAAGACATCCCCCTGCATCCACCCCCTCTTCAAGAAATCAAGCATCTTTGCCTTGACAACATCTTGGCATTCCTATGCAGATGCCTACATGGTGAGTCCCAGCTTTGTGACTGAGTCTTCTAAGAAGCAGACATTCCAGCCCTGGACAAGGCCTGTAATTTCTGACCCTCAGACATTGTGTAAGATTAGAAATGCACATAGTGTTAAGCTTCTGAACTTGGGGGATAGGTTGTTACACACCCATAAATATCTGAAACACATGATCTTTGGCATAACTGACGCATGTGCAAAGCATGTCCAGCTCTGACTTTGTTCAGCAAGTGAGAGAAGTGCTGGAGATCTCAATTGGTAATGTGAGACATTTTTCATCTCCATCTTGTAAAATAACTCCTGGGGAAATGAAAGTAGGACTTAAGATGATCCTAACTGAAAATTCCCTGGAGGGCTAATTGGATTTCCTCAAGATGGGGGTAGAATTGGCAGGAGTAATTCTTGTCAATACTCTGACTTTTATTTATGGTCCATGCCTAAAATCACTATCCACAAAGCCCTTGCAGATACCTCAACCTGAAAGCACCCTTCCCATTTCTGAACTGCCATAATACTTTGCCTCTCATAATATGTGCCCTACTTAGCCACATAATTCTCTGCATATTGCCCATCTTGTCTTTCAGCTGTCAAGTTTTTGAAGATCTGGCTTCTGTCTCCTTTTCATCTTCATATCACCTTTCCCTTTGCCTCCAGCCCTATGTGTGGCAGCTCAATAGACAGTTGTTGACTTGAACTTCTAGGCATTGACACATAAATTCCCATTGTCATCTATAGCCTCAGCAATATAACAATATACTTGTTTGGACCTCAAAATATATTTTTGGCTCAAGTGCTGTTGGAAATCTTTGTTCTCTATAAAGGGTTCAACTTGCTTCTCTACACTGGAAAATTGTCCTACAGGTAAATTATTCCTGTCTCTCATTGCAAACTGAGCACAAGTCAAAAGGGTAAATAACTTCCAACTTATATAAACTACTACCTTAGTGGAAGTAAATTTTCTGTTGCTAAGTACTGGGGATTGAACATAGGTCCTTATACATGCTTGGAAAATGCTCTACCACTGGACTATATCCCCAGCCCTCATTTTTTTAAACTTTTATTTTGAAGCAAGGTCTCACTAAGTCCCAAGGATGGCCTTAAATCCCTTGCTCTGTAGCCCAGAAAAGGACTTGAACTTGCAATTCTCCTGCTTCATCCTCCAAAGTAGTTGTGATTACAGGTCTGTTCCCTGAGGTCCAGCACAAAGTCAAGAATCTTGGATTGAGGCAAGTGATAATCTGCTGAAATTTATATTAGTTTGATGATACCTCCCACCAATTAAGTTCAGAGGAAGGGCTTTGTTTTAAAAGGATGCTGACAAACAGAAGTATTCAAAAATAGGGCCAACTAGCATGGTGATGGACATGAGAAAAGGCTGTGGTTTTGTATCTAGATAAGGAAATACTTGGGGTAAGTAATACAGGGTGAGGAAAAGTGATAGCATTAGTCACAGATCTGATAGGGCTGTCATAAAGACAAATTATGCTTGTTCTGTATGATTGCCAGGATGGAACTAGAGGTGGTGGGAGGAGGCTCCAGAATAATCATGTACTAACAAGTCAACAGCTAGTGTTTACTAAGCAGTGACACTGTGGCCGGCATTGTGCTGTTACCCACATGATCAGAGGTGAGAGGCTTTGGACTCCGTAATGTTTGCCTAGGTCACTGAGCTTGCCTTGAGTTGGCAACATCAGCACTGAGCAGGGGCTGTCTGACTATAGAGCCCAAGGTCTTAACCATTGCACTCATCCAAGGAAGAAGACTAGGATAAGAGTCAGAGAGGATCAGAAGCTAAACGCTCTGCTTCATGGAATGGTGAGCTTTCAGTCCCTGGGAAGCTGCAGGAAGAGTCAAGTGATTTTCTGTCACTTGATGGAGGGTTGGATTGGCAAGATCCTGGTTCCCTGGTCCCAGCCCTGAGACTCCCTGATTCCAGGTGGGAGGCAGCAATCTGGAGGCCTGTCTCACTAACTCTCCCAAGGGCCTTAGCACTATGTAGAACCAAACAACTGCAGTGATGAAATTCAGCCGTGTTGTCTCTTTCTGCGCAACAGTCACCTGGAAGGCAGTGCAGCAACCTGAGGAGAGCAAGCCTCAGCCTCAGCCTCAGAGCCTCTAGCTGCAGCATGGACAAGAGACGACAGTGACACTGAGCACCTACTGCTGCTCTCATCTCCCGCATGCGGTTTTGTGAGTTCTCATACTTAAAGGTTATTCTGTGAATTCCAATGAGCTGCCTGCCAACTCTCTCTCTCTCCTCCTGGCAGCTTTCCTTTCTTTCCCACAGCACATCGATCTGCTTATTCACTATAAGATGGGCATGAGGGAAGATGCCAGGTTGTTTCTTTGATGGTTTGTTTTGTTTTGTTTTGTTTTGTTGCCGTCAGCATTTCTGTATGTGTACCCCCTCCTTCACAAAGGGCTCATCATAGGCTGAATTTTTCTCTCACCTGACCCACAGGGCATCCACCTTTCAGTCATGGTTGCAAACTGACCACTTGTCATATAAATTGCTAATTTGTTCAAATGTCTCATTACAGAGTGTCTCTGTGTGTGTGTGTGTGTGTGTGTGTGTGTGTGTGTGTGTGTGTGTGTGTGTGTGTGTGTGTGTGTGTCTTTACTTTGAAACTCAAGGTTCTGAAAACACCCTTGCTAGACAATGGCCCCATCTATATTGACTAGGAGCACTTGATTGGCAGAGAATGTGTCTGACAGACAGACAGCATGCCTTTGTTCAGGTTGGTTCTATAAGACTCTCACTTTCATCTTTAAGAGAATACTTCAATAAATTCTACATACCAGTTTTCCCTCTGCCAAGGGATGGAACACTGGCTGTTTCAAAATTACCTCCTTCCTTTTCAAGTTTTAACCAGCTTTCTAGTTTTCCTTCAACCCCACTTTTAATACTCAGGACAAATTTCTACTCAGATTAGTTAGCCAGAGAGCATCCTGGAGTTAGCACTGAGAAGGGATCCTGCACACCATCTTAATCCACTTCTACAGGCACTCCCTACAAAGGCTAGTTAGCTCTTGTGACATGCTAAAGTATCAAATCAGAGCACCTCCGTCTGAGCCAGGTGACTTGTTCTAGTGTGGAGCCATTACCTCAGTCACAGTCAAGTATCAGCAGCCACGAAAGGCCCTGAGTAAGCATACATCAAGAGTTCCTAAGAAGTTCATCTCCCCTGCCAGATGCAATAAGAAGGGACATAAGGGGCTGGGGAGATGGCTCAGCAGGTAAGAGTACTGGCTGTACAAGCACGAAGGTCTGTTTTCAAATCCTTAGCACTCATATTAAAAGCTAGAATGGCACATACACCTGCAACCTCTGTGCTATGCAGGGTGGAAGTAGGGAAATTGCTGGCGTTTTCTGGCTGACAGCCTAGCTTCAGGTTTCAAAGGAATAAGGAATAAGTGCTAGAAGAGATCAGTGTGCCCATGAAGCCCACATGCACATATCGTGTACG